TAAGTCGAGTTGTCGAAGCCCTCCGTTTCAAGTAGATTTCGATATGCAGTTATTCCCCATTCATCCAGCCGGAACTAGTCCCGCTTACTCATCCATCAGGGGTCAGTCAAGTGCTTGATGACAGGTAGAACCGGGAAAAACACTTTGCAGTAGCAGTACACAGGTCAGAACCCAGCTACCAGCTTACACCTCACCCGCTACGGTCACGGGGATGAGGCAGGGACCAAACCCGGTTCACTTATAGGCGGGTACGGACTAGGACTCTAACCAACTTAGCGATTTCCCGCCGAAACGCTCTCTCAATGAGAGCTCATACTAAAAATAAAAATGAAAAGCAGTGATACAGGTTTTTATTCCAGTGGAACTATTGACCGAAGAGCCTTACTACCAGAGCTAGTAAGCTAGCGGAAGAGCTCAGCCTACGATAAGCTGATGAAGAGCTACTATCACCAAGAGAGGGATTACAACCTTTTCCGACAGACTGCTCGAATGGACAGACTCATTAAGAGAAGTGCGACCTCAGCACCGCATCTATCGACCGGGCTAACTGCCCCCCGTTGACTCCCGTTTCCCGATATACTTATTTTGCATGAGCCTATTCCTATCTATAAGTGAATTCCCTTTCTAGGCCTAAAAGAAGGTCTTTTATGGAGGGTTCATGTCCCTATAGTGACCTATTGCACCCCTTGAACTTGGGTTTCACACTAATACTAATGAGCTCTAAAATGATGCTTGGGGATTGCTTCTGCCCGTACTGTGCTTCCAAGCCCACTACATCAGTCTAGTTTAAAAGCAGCAGCTAGCTTTATTGACTCAACCAGAGGAAGCCATCCTAATAAGGAGTCATACCTCGTTGCTCATGTTCCTACGCAAAGCAAGGGATCACGCAAGCTATGAGATGGAGCGGATGGTAGTAGGAAGGATCAAAGTATACCAGCGTACGAGTAGAGATCCTTGAAAGCTCTACCCGGAAGTTTTCCCCGAACTCATGAGGTTCGGCCCACCATTCCTACACTACCTCCCTCATATAGGGAACGCACTGTCAATTCAGATTGAGAGCAAGACCTTTAATCAATGCAATTCATTGGTTTGACGATGAAATGAGAAGATCATTTTTGTGGATTGGATGATGGGACCTGGCCGATCAATCGCTGAAGCTCCTTCTTGGAAGCGGAGAAGAGAGGCTCATTTGCCTTATTCTATTAATGCGAAGCCCTCCATTCCTGACCAAGGATCGGAATTCGCTTTTTTCTTTCCTAGTATAGTGTGCCGATTAAGCATCCCGATCTCCAAATTAGACTGTTATCTCGGATCCCGGAAGCTCGGATTGTGCTTCTATATTCTATGTTAATGACAGAGCCACCAATCAGCCCATGAAGACCCATCCCTGGTTGTATGATAGACAGATTCTTCTGTAAATGATACGAACTGATGGCCTACACCTACAGACCGAGCTGACAGAGCTTAGGCGATGATTGAGAACCTCCGCCGAACCTTTACAGAGCCTGCACCGGACTGGTGTGAAGCAGTGGCAAACCAAAATACCCGAGAAGTGTCCATCGCGAATTAGACCCTTACATTTCCTCAGATGGGAGTTCTATAAGGTAATACTCATTAACATCTAGTAAGAGATTATTAAGGCCATTAGCTCCTTCCATCCCCAACTGAGATGAGACTACCCACACTGTGCCCTCGATTCGAACCAATACCGCCATTACTGCTGTCAGCCAAAGGACCTAACGAAAGCTGTTCCATAGATAGAGGAAAGTGAACAATGCCTCGATATCTACCACACATTAAGTACACAGACCGATGGATGATCAGCCAGATCCCTCATAAAGACCGAATGAAAAAGAATAGAACGGGGTCTTTTTTTGCCACTATCATTTTTAAAATGAACCTTTAAATGACCCTCAAAAGTCAGTAAATAGATCCACCCGAAACATATAAAATGCGGTGAATCCTGCTGTAGAACAGGCTATTATTGATTTGTGAATACAACCAACTATCATTAAGAAATTCATCTTTGGAAAAAGAAGCAAGAAGAAAGTGACTTGCGAATGAATGGAGTAATAAGTGAATGGCTCAGATAACTCTGAAATGGGAGATCTTGTCTTGCCCTGTCATATGCTCAGCGACGGTCAATTCTCTTTACAAGAAATTCCATGATCTACGACCAACCTTCCTTCTTTGCTAAAGAGTAGGAGTCCAGACCTCCTTCTGCGTCACATCTCTCCGCTCGCTAACCAATAACAAGAAATGAGGAAATTTATAAGATTGAGTGAGATCATCTGTGATCGACGCAAATGTCGCCTTACTGACTGGGCCAATATTCATGTTCAAGCAAGATTCTGTAATAACTTGTGGTTCAAAAGCCTAGTAAAAAACTTGTAAACTACCAAACTAAAAAAATGACAAACTTAGGATGAGCGGTATAATGTTAATATGAAATAACCTGGGTTCTTTTCACCTCGATTTATCTCCTGACTCCGCTCATAAAGCGTTCGTGAAGAAAGGCTAGCGTGGGGAGAGAGGCCAACGAGCGGCGGATATGCGCTGATTGACTCAGCTGCTGGTCATGAGTTGCTATCCTTCATGGATGGGCACTCTATATATAATATAACCAAATCTTCATTGCTGAAGAAGACATCCACAACTTTCAGATGCCCTGGTCAAATCGGCAAAGGGGAAGCTTCCTTCTCTTTTCTATGTTCGATCTTGGTACCTTAGTACCAATTCGCACCAACCCAATCTCTTTTAAATTTAAAGGATGCCATGGAATCTCCTCCAACAACATATGTGAAAAGCGGATTTCGAAGTGAATTACCTTCTTATTAGAATAGTTACGGCAAGGAGGAGTACTTGTTTACCTTACTGGCCCCTCAGCATGAGACTGGGAAAATCCCAAGATCCGGCGGGTCTTATTTTAAATAAATTTGGGTAAGACCTTATTCCTTCTTCTATACAAAAAATGAGAAGTATAGCTCCAATCTTTGACCGGTGAGTAGCACCCCCGCTAAGCCTAATCGCAAAGATTTTGACCTCCCTATTCTACGTTAAGAGCGAAGTGCATGGGACTGACGGGATCCCTCGCTCTCTTTCAAATAATCCAAGTTTCGGAAATAAAGGCAATGCGGCGTTAAGAAAGACAGGCTCGATAGACCTATAGCAAGTAGAGAGTCAGATAGTGGATCTTGCACATCGGCCTTGAGATCATCCAATTTGGGTGGCGCTCAGCTTCTTCTCTATCTGTTCGAAGATCAGCCGACCTCTACCAATCAAGGGATTCGTCTTGCTTATGTGCTTCCTTATCGCCTCCCTTATCGCCCGCCCCCTTTTTATAGACCCCCGACGCGAGACTCCCTGCCCGATGCGACCCCCATTTCCGATAACATTTTTTTCGCGTTGGCAATGTAGGGCGGACTGATTGGTTGGGGATACATCAGCAACTACAGGTTCTGCCACTCTCTGGTGACCGCAACAGGTTCCGTTTTTCCAGTTTCGCTTTACTCGATCAAAAAAATCTCATTCTACTCCTACATCTTATTATTGTGCGCCTTGTGAGCGCCTTTAAATGTCTTCTTCCTGTCCCTTGCCCGAAAGTGACCCATTTCTTCAAGTCATTCGACCTGAGAGATCATCCATATGGTGTCTAATCATGTTAAGTCATATTTATCATTATTATTGATAGGCTTGTGCGCTATAAAGACCCTTAACTAACCATCTCATATAAGACGAAATGACTGGAGTCTCTCAACAATAACCTAGGTATAGTTCCTGCTCTCTTCCCTCTTTAACAAGTAAACGACTGTCGAGACATCCGAGAAGAAAGACAGGTCTGAGACAGGTTGTGGGAGACAAGACCTCGTGAAGAAGTTTGGACACGCTTGTGTGCGTATGTACCCAATTTCTCACTCACTTGAGTACTCTCATGCCCTTCTACCGAAACAAGAACATCCTTAAGAAAGAAAGAAGAACCCATGGGAACCTCCGCTCTTTTCATTCTACAGCTAAACAACTGATCGAGAGCTTTGACGATGTCGAGCTCATGCATGTCCCAATACAAATGTAATTCTCCGTGAAGATGCGTAGTACCAAACAAAGATTGTAGGTAGCATGAGGGGTGGGCACCCGGGTGAATCACAAGTTGCCTCTCGTAGGCGGACTGGATCACTAAGTTCTCTTCTAAATATGAATATGAATGATTTTAACTATTTGCCGTTTTTCCCGCAAAAAAGCTCATTTTTACCGACGTTCCCATGTCGGATAGTCTTCCTACGCCTATTGATGAGCAGTGAGTGGAGTTGCCACTTTCTTCAACAGTAATAGAAAGTCCAAAGTAATAAAGCGAGAACGCAACAAGGATTCGAAGTTTTTCAACTTCAACATTACCTTCCCTTCCTTCAAAAGCTGGTGGGAGTATGTATTGCCCTAGGACAGGAGTTGATGAGCTAGTAGAGAAAGCGGGCATCTCAGAGTTGCCCCATAAGGAGGAAGGCTGACATTAGCCCTACAGAAGGCATTCGAGACTGCTTCACCCGGTCCCCGGCTACCTTAGGGCAGTTAGAGCATACGAAGGAAATCAGATCTGTTTTCCACAAATATCGTATATATAGTTGCCCCTTTCCTCCTCATTCTATGCAGGTAGGAGTGTACCCCATGAATCATTGATGAGATTCTGTTCAGACAATTCGCTTTGATCGTAGGCAGGGAGGTGACACACCAGATTTTTGACAGCTGTTTCGGCTGATATTGGTTTGAGTTTTGAGATTGTGGAACAGGGCCCACACTTACATATTTTAGGTGACCTAGCCCTACAGCTGGCACTACGAAGTCGAGAGCTGCAGATCGACAAACCTCTGCCCGCTGCCCTACACTCGATCTATGGTCAAGGTATGTGTCGTAGTGAATACTCTTCTCTACCGTGAAGTGATTCATACCTAAAAAAAAATGAGAAAATCCAGTTGTGGATGCCACTGAGTAAGCAAGCAACCTGCATTTCTTGCCGTTCACTCCGGTATTCCGCTTTCTGATTCTCCCCCGCCAAAGATAGAGTCTCCATGGTCGCGCGTTCGAGCTCACTAAGTTGGATTGCCTTCTTTCCATTCCGCAGGGATGGTGTCCGTCCCCACTCAATCCCCTATTGCCTCAAGCGTGCTTCCGTTTCCTGGTCTTTGAGTTCCCAAAGTGGGTTTGGTCTGGTCTCTCAAAGTTGTGGTTTTTCTATCGAAATAGACGAACCCTGGCCTATTTCGACGTTGAGAAAGGGTGCTCCCAAGCCCAGTAATAAGAGGTTGGATAATAGGTTATCGTACTGTGACCTAGACCCCCAGCCTCCTACCTTCTAGCCCCTCCTAGCATAGTTGAAACCTCACTCGAGCAATAAGGATATTAAAGAGCTGCTTTACCACAGGCGAATCGTGGAAAAGCGCGTGAGAGAAGGAACTACGTGAAGACTTGATCACGTAGGTTGCTTGGATTGGAAAAGAAGTCCGGGTTCAGTCAATCAACAAAAAGCCCGGTCAGAGGAAGAAGTCAATGATGGCATTGTTGATCTTATCCCTTTCCGTCCTAGAGGACATAGTAAACCTCCTACTATAACTATAGGAAAGGGCGGAACTTAGCTCAGCACTAAGCAATCTAGGGAAAAGAAAGCTAACTACCACATACAAACTACCTAGGCCAGGAAGCTATCCTAGTCAGGTCTTCTTTCCTCTCCTTAACAGTCGAGCTTTAACTATTTCCTTTCAGTCTATTAGTTACGAATATTCTTATCCTATAGTAAGAGTGATCAATATCAATGAAGGCTGCTTCGAGCGGGCATCAGTCCTATCCCTGGAGGGAAAGCATACTTAGCATCAGTAGAAGAAGAAAGAGGGGAGTTGGCTGATAACATTAAATTAACTATTTTACAGGTTCAGTCATTTGCCTTAGCCAAACCTAGGAAAGAGATAGCATCAGCTCGGCGACTAGAAGCAATATTCGAGTAGCTCTCAGGTATTGGAGTCCAGAAACTACCGCATCTAGCTAGGAAACAGCGTCTTTTTCTCCTAAAGCCCGATTCCACTCATAAGAGTGACATAAAAAGGATCAGACTTGAGGAAACACCGTATTTTGGGCCTAAAAAGGCGCTCCCAGAGGCTATCATCACAAAGAAGAAAGCAGTTAGTTCCACTAGTGCGCAGGGAAGGTATCACCCTTATTCCCATTCACAAGCTAACTCCATAGGGAATAATCTTGGGACAACCATAAAGGAAAGCTAGCTAGGCAGATAGGAAGGAAAGAAAGAGCGGATAGGGTCAGCAGAGAGATCGGGGGCACTTCACGCTGTTATTGACGATGCAGAGCTTCCTACTTCAGACTAGCTCCTAGGATAGCTGCCTAATGGAAGATAGGATACGGGCACATCCAGCTAATAGAAAGGGCAGCCCTTATCCCATGCCTTCCTAAATCCTAAATAAAGGCATAACTAGAGTCATTCCTCTGCTAGTAGGAGCATATCTGAGTACAGAAATGATTGTGTAAGAGAATAGGTTGTTATTGGTCGGTCCTAAAGGTAAGAGTAGGTTGCTCCTCTGTTCCCTACTAATTGCGTAAGAGCCTAGTTTTCTCTTCCCTCTGGGTGAGTCGCTTCTTTCTCCAGCAGCTATTGCTAAAGTCGGGTTTGGGTCTTCCCCTGGTGGACGTAGGGGCATCGATCGACAGGGTGCTAATCTAATAAGGGCTGGAATAAAAACCTCATCCTCCATTCCCTCCATGTCTTCAATATCAGTTACCACAAACTGTTCCATAATAAAGTAAGTATCCCTCATTGCACTCTGTACTGCTTCCTTCAGCTCACCAACTGTAGCATAGGGTGGAACCACTATAAGCTCACCAGGCTCCCTCGTCAACTCATATTTTAGCTCTCTTGAACTTGGCATCAATCGGCAAATGAATCTCAGAAATTGATCATCTTCATCCTTAAAATAAAAGGTCACTCCTTCACTGCTTGCTGTCCAAAATTTCCCGAGTCGCCAACTCAACCAATTTTGATTCCGGGTAACCCAATACAATAGTAGTACATTTGTATACAAGTAGACGACATCACTGTAAACATCAGCCCCAGGCACTAGAGCAGGTACTGGAAGTGGCTCAGGAACTATTTCAGGTTCCGGTTCATTGATCAGAACACGATTACCAAGCTCATGAATCGTGTATTCCAAAACCCGAGTGGATGGGTTCACAGCACGACAGACAATGTGACTTCCAACGATTACATTGTTCATTGATTTCAGCACATAGTCGAGCAAACCCGTATCACCAATGTGCAGCCGAGCTGCGTCTCGCACTTCCTGCCGACTCATCCCGCCATGGCTAAACTTGTTTTCTTTCTTTTCTTTCAATGCATTAAGAATGATTTGTGCTGCATATTCGAATCTTCTTGCAGGCCATCCGCTATCCATATTAGCGATTGCAGTAGTGAAATTTCACCGATTTTTCTCTCACAAGATGAAGATGCTTGTTTTGCAGGGCTCTTCTGGTTGAAAGTCTTGAAGAAGTAGAAGAAGAAACAGCGGTAGCCATGATCGATTTCCTCTGCGCAGGAGCTGGGGATTTGAGAGTAAGCATGACTCTGAGAAGATCTCTGATTGTGATCAATTGGGTCTCACTCAAATCTTCGTAATAACGAATGGCTTGCTTGATTTCTCTGCATCGGTTCGTGTTACTGAAATCTTGGATGATCTTATTATGAACTAAGAATGTCGATTGCTCTGTCGTAATTGTTTTCGGTCACTCCAAAGCTTCCATGGCAGAATCTGTACCCCCATCTAGCGAACCACGGATGCCCGTACGCAACCCCATGAAGCAACCGAAGATCCATTGATCGCTTTTTCGACACATCCTCAACCGTAATTTGACTGTAAAAGAAAGAAAACCCCGGATTCTTCATTGTTGAAAAAGATTCAAAAAAGAAGTCATTTAGGTCTTGTGCAGATTCGATCCCAAAGATCCATTCTATCTCTGCCGCAGAGATACCTAGACCCTCCTTCAATTCCATTAATACAGAGTAGATGACCAAACCTATTACAGTGAATCAACCCATGCAAGAGATGAAGATAAAAAAACCATCATCCAGAGGCGAGGAACTCCCATCATCGACTGGAATTCTCAGATGAGACTTTCGTTTCGACACAAAATTCTTACTCCAACCTACATCAAAAAATGCAGAACACCCCTACTAGGTCAAAACCCCATTTTCCCAAACCTATATCTCTAATATAATAGGGCATCCTCTTATGAAGTTCGTATTCTAGTTAAAACCTCTTCTGATAGGTAGGTTCCTCTCCTTTCTCAGTAAATGGATGAAATTCACTCGTCAGAATCAATATACGGAACTACGTAAAATCAGGCCATGGTCGCTGCATCTGAAATCGTTCGTTCACCCGAAAGTCCTCTCTCTACGCTACGCTAAAAAAAGAAATTTGGCTCTTTCACACAGGATATAGTGAATAAGGAACTTCCTTCTCGGTTTCGCATGCCTTTTTCTTTTTTTAAGAAGATTGTAGCAGTTATTATACTTCCCCATCAGAGTATTCTTCCAGATAAAAAGAACTTATCTATGAAAAGCATTATTCAAATGAAGAAACCTCAGACTATTACCCAGATGGTGCACAAGAAGAAGACGTAGAGGAAATAGGCTTCAGTCCAGCTCCTTTCGGAAAAGAATATGGAGGCCAGCCCACAATTAATGAGCTCGAGTAGGCCAATCTGGGCACACATGATGACCCTCAACCTACCTTTATTACTAAAAATCTTTACCAGCACCAGAAAATAACTATTGATTGGGTTGCTCAAGCAGTTTAGAGCTTGCATCGACATATTCAGAGATGCCAGGATTGGATCCAGAAATAGCCATGCACTGCTTTTTCATCACAAGGAGCAAAAAGCCAGTTAAAAACCCAACCGAAGGTATCGCCCTGAGTTAGGTCAACAGATCGAGGATGAGGGAAAGAAGCTCATCAGTGCTGATTTTCCTGAGCGAGTAACTCGTTTTCCGGTTGTGGTAAGGATTCGGTAAGCAGCCCCGAAAGCATTCCATCCTAGCTTTAGAGTCGGTGCTAGCTTCTTCCCTTGAGTTGTTTGCTGTCTTCTTGTATTCGTGTGTGAGGCTAGCCTCCGCCCGGGAGTCTTCGAAGCCAGTGCTCACTCCTTTTGATTGGAGTGAGCACTGACTTCCCACCCAGAGTCATTTCCTGATCATCTTATTTTATTCTTCTGGCCTTTCCTTTGGGAATAGGGAATCGCTAGTTTTTCAGGGAAGCTCTGTAGACTGGCATGTTAGAGTCGATTTGATTAGCGTGATTTCCTGCTAAGGACAACCTTCTATCTCTTGGACCAAAGTGAATCTTTCTTCGAATCTCCCGATTTTTCTCCTTATAATGAATGGGGATTCCAAGGTGCTGGATCGGTTCCTTAGAGTCAAAAATTTGCTTGCCGAACCATATAGTTTCCTATGAGTTGCGGGATAAAACCTTGCTCTTTCTTATTTTACTACATCACAGAAATTCTAGCCTAAAGAACCTAGCCTCAGACTCGCTCGCTTCCCCCATGAGAATGATGTCATCTGCTTACTGTCCGTGGTTGATTGCTTGAACATTTGGGGCTTTTTCACACTTGTTGATTGGCCTAGGCTTAGACCACAGATACTTGCTGATAGAATCTGTGATAAGAATGTGAACAAGTAGGGGGACAGTGGGCATCCTTACCTGAGTCCACGACTCACCTTGAAGAAATCTGACGGTCTGCCGTTGATGGGGCAATCCAAGGCCCTTTGATACATGCTTTGATCCGGAGAAAAAAATGAAATAAAATATGGCAGCGGAACTTGTTTATTATTTATTTATCTATACTGGCTCTAGTGCTAGTTGTGTTGTTTAATCAATGGAAGTAACATAGTGCGGTAGCTCAGCCATTTGCAGCGAAGGAAGGATTAGTTGCGTAAGAAAAGGTGAGCATTACAGCGGCTTCCCCCCAAAAAAAGGGGGTTTTTCCGGTTGATTATGTCATTTCTCTCTCTCTGGTATGATGATTTTCTAGCCATATTTATAGAAGGCGAGTGCGAAACGGTAGGCGGCTAGTCACGCCACATTGGGTACTGCCAAGTACGCTTTTTGAATAAAAAATTCTCTTATTTTCCTGATATTACTGTAAACAAATTGATATTTGTTTTTTACCATGCCCATGGTTGAGGGCTGTGATCCCTAGGTGTCGTAGAAAGAGGAACTACCACTGACTCTGCCGTGGAATCAAAGACTGACTCACCACTTCGAATTGAGGATTTATTAACTGAAAGGTGCTTCCTCAACCAGATAATTAGGATCTACCAATCGATTGGCTTGTCAGGAATGGGGATCAACCCAATATCCATTTACCGGATAGTCTTTCTTAGCAGCTAGTAATCTACGATGCTACACTTGAAGCTTTCAGAGAGTCCTACTGTCGGCTCATCTTCTATCTAAGACCTCCGGATGCCTGAAAGCTGCTGTTTTATCAGGTCTAGTTGCGGTTCGCTCTTTCACTTATTCGGTCAAGCAGCTTCACTCCTCTCCCTCTGGTCGAGCTGCTACGCTCCTTGGCAGTCAGTCTCCACCCCTGACCCCATTCCTTCTAGCTCAGGAACTTCTATTTTGAATCTGAGTTTCTACCTTTCCCCGTTCCCGTGTAAGCTATTCCATGCGATGTCTTTCACAAAGGTACAGGGATTTGATAATCGATAGAGCTGGTGAATCTTTTCTTCCCTCGTAGGAACTTGGTCTCTCTAATACATCAATCAATATGGTAGATAGATCAGGTAGAAGATCAGCTGCTACTCTCGCTGTCTTCGATCGGCTTCAAAGCTTCTTCACTTTTTGCGCTTAGCACTTCCACCGATGCCTGACTTTCGTCTATGTATGGGTTAGATTAGAGAAGGAATCCTCCTTCTATCCTATCAACTAAGCTCTTCTTCGTCTTTCCCCTGAGGAGGTCAAGAATTCGTCGATTCCACATCCCTTGATTCAACTATTGGAAGTGCTGTTATGATCGATTTGGCTTCTCCTCTTCATGAATAGCCTGGGCACTTATATTCTTAATAAGAGTATACAGGTCCGTCTTTGACCGGTTCGGGTTCGGGACTCGTTCTATGACCGTACTCCCCTCCCATGTTTGAGGAGTCTGAGAAAGCTCTTCGTCCGACGCGGATACGAGCTTCTTCGATTGGACTGTTACATAGTAAATGCGGCTCGGAACAGCTATGAGGCACTGAGCCCTTTAAACTTCGCTCTTTGAGCCGTTTTCTGCTCAAGTGGCTTTTTTGGTTGCTTTCTGGCTTGATGAAAGATAGGTTGAAGTCTTAGAGTTAGACCTAAAGGCTGCTCCTGCTGATGAAGAAAGAAGGCTTTCTCCTACTGCGCGGACCCGTCCCCGAATCCGAAATGGCTACGGCTACCTAAGCTTGAAGTCGAGTGTTGGGGCAAAGAGCCGAACTACTGATAAAACTTCGGGCAAGCGACTGAGGAATGAAAGATAATGTTCTCCGCCCTGAACAAAAAGATCTGAAAATAGAGTATGTGAAGATGTCTACTCTACTCCCTTCTTTCTATCGACATCCCTATCTGTCATAGAATTTCATTAAGCATATAGCTCGGGCTCCTTCGTTCCGTAACCGTAACCTTAGGAAGTGCGGGTTAACTTGAGCTAATGGCTGGCGCCTCTGAAGCCTCTGAGCTTCTAGCTAAAGACTATTCTCGGTACTCCATCAACTCAATGAATTGCGTAGAAAACGATCAGGTGCTCATCCGCCTCTCGGCTTCCTGATCTTCACTGGTCGGAGGCTAAGAGCTTTCTTTGACTCTGAGTCATATGGGATGGGTCCCTACTCTCACTATGGCATAGTGGCCCAACGGTTCCTATGAAAGTCATAGCCGGACCTACTCTCCTCTCGCCGATGGTTTGAGAGTTGCGTTGGCGTGACGCTAATCTACTGATATTCGAGTGCTTGAGTTTCACTCATGTAGAGATAACGAAGGGAAAGGGCATTTGAGGGAGAGCCCAACCCAAGGGAAGGGGCAAAGAAAGGACCTGAGCACATTGACATCGAAGAAAAGGCCAATGAAAATAGGGAAAGTCCTATTCAAGCCGCTTTACCGACGAGGTTAAAGAGCGGTAGCCCCTCCTTCGAGCAAGCAAGCGGCACTAAAAGCAGGATGAAAGCAAGCAAGGAGTGTAAGCCACTTGCCCGATAGGGTAAGGAGCGGAGACCCTTCCTTCATTCATTAAGTTTAGGGATTTGAGTCAGGGATAACAGAGGAGCAAGCCCAAACAGAAGCAACAAGAAAAAACAAAGCAAGAAAGAAAACAGCTCTTTGTCTTACTGTGCCCGAGGAAGGGAAGAAAGAAGATGACAGACAAAGCACAACGGAGGAATGAACTTCAAGCATGGAGGGGGAAAGTAACGGCACTCAAAGCTGTCTTCCATCAACCAAGCATGAAACAGAAGCCATGGACTAAGATGACTGGACAGGAGCGATAAGCAGCTATCAGCCACTCGAACCAAGTTAGAGGTTTTTTTCATGAGAGTCTTTCTAACATTCTTCACCTGAACCCGGGAACAGCTTTGACTTAGATACTCTATTGTCAGATAGTTGAATGGCACCGGGAATGGATTAGGGAGCAAAGGAGATTAGGGAAAGTCCTCTGAAAGCCCTTTTTCCAACTGAGAGGGGCAGGAGAAGGATAGAAAGGTAGTTTCCTCCAGCAAGAGGGATGACTTCTTCCTTTCCGCAAATAACAAGCGCTTTTCTTCGCCACATCGCGTATAACGGGAATCGAACCCCCCTGCTGCTGGCGGGCGGATGGAGAATGTTCTACTTCGATCTTGTTAGGAGTAGGTTTTGGCTTTCCCCTTTTATGTTATTAGTAAAGCGCTAACGCCCTATCTATAGTAAGGGGCTTTTTCAATAAGGCTCGCGTAGGGGCGCTCACGTTTTTTTGGCTCTCTTCGCTCCACTAGCCTTGATTGGTGGATGGAAGTACCGAGGATAGTCTGGTGGTATCGTATAGTTGATCACGGCTGCATTTAGGAGTAAGAAGTTCCTCACACTTTTCATTTCATAAAAAATAATAAAAGTAGCCTAGGGCGGATCCCAGATATGCCAGTTGATTGATTCGACTCCATTTTAAAGATTGGGTGAGTGTTAAGTGTACCGGTGTAGCCTATGCGAAGCAAGCCTACATAGGGATCGAAAAGAATGCATTGTATTCTAAATGAGATGCCCAAGAGAAAAGGAACGAAGGGATGAATCGGCGAAGAATTAGGATGGGCTGCTGGTCGAGCTAGCTCTAATCGAACTGTGACATCACGTAAAGTAAGTGTCAAGCGAATATAAAAACTAAAAAAGAGCGCCGTGCTAGAGTGCAGGCGCTTCAGCAACGGGAAGGACATAGCTTTTGAATCAACGAAGCACTCTGTCAGCAGAGAAGTTTGATTTCATAAGAGAAGAAGGTCCAGTCCAAAGAAGGTTGGAAAGGAATACGCCCGGTTCCTGAGACAGGAAAGGGGTCTACGTTCTGGCATGAATGTCAGTTCAGTTCATGTTCATCCCAATCCCTCTTAAGGAAGAAGCCTTCTCAAGCGCCCTAAGATGAGGAAGAAGCTACTTTCAGACTGTGTGCCCTTTCCTTTTCTTTGCTAACCACGCTGAGGGCTCGAACCTCAGTTCTTCCTTATTGCCTATCGTGGCCCTTTTACTTTTATAGTCCTATCAAGATCATTTGGCTGACGCCGAAAGCGTAACTATCTTACTAGAAGTGAGGACTGCCCTCCACCTCTTATTCATATTTCATATCAGGTTCCATCTTCTCCTTCTCTTTCTCCCTAAACTAAAGGTCGATCCTTGTCCTTGGTACAGTGTTCCACCCGCTCTCTATCCTATGGGTCCCCCCTTTTCTCGCGAAACTGCACTCTTTTACTTGGACTTGACTTTGAAGCCTGATTAAAAAAAGAGATCTTTGGGTAAGACTGCCGGGTCTTGAGCACCAGTACTATCACCAATATCTAATATCTAGATTCGTCTAAGATTACTCCCGCTTACCAAAAGACTTAACACTGGATCTGATATTCATCGAATAGAATGAGAAAAAGCTCTCTCCGGACCATGAGGCATTTCCCTCTTTAGAATTCTTTATAAGAAGTGGGAATAGCCGGTTCCCAATGGGAATGAGAGATGGGATCAAGGCAATAGCTACCTTTCTCGCTCCTGGTATTCGGAGATAGGATAAACAAGACTGACTTGACTTCAAACTCTTTCAGTCAGTCCATCAGATTGACCTCGAGATTCGCCTTTTGCTTTCATTTGGTCAACGGACCGTACCGAAGTTAGTTGAAATACAGAATGCAGGCCTAACCCATTAGAGAGATTTCCCAAAAAGTAGAAGCATTCCAATTCTTTATTTAGATTTAGGAGTTTCTTAGGAGAAGAAAGAAGCTAAGACTCTTTTCTTAGAGGAGACAAAGGGCTAAGAAGTGGAGGTAAAAGCGTACTGAAATCGTAACCGTCATGGGTGAGCCTGCAAAGTCCATCAAAACTCCAGACCCTTCTGCTTTGAGGCGCATAAGCGCACAGTTTTCTATTTAAAAAATAGAAGCGGATAAAAAAAAAAAAAGGCATTCATTCCGGGCAGAGAATTACCCTCGAATGAGTACTAGCCTATCTACGAAAAAGCCCTTTATGTTAAAGTATCTATACCCATAGGTTTACCTCACATCGATAAATCCACTCATCAAAAGGGGTCAGATAAAGCCTTGAGATGAATAATGCTTCCAGTCCCAAGGATTCATTCAGTTAAGTCGATGAGCAAGTCCTATGCGCTCGTCTAGACCAATAATCAATAGAGACGGAAACTCCCTTACGAAAGCCACTTGAAGGCGAAATGAACTTCTCGATCTAAAACAAGTCTTTGGGGACCTATTCTTCTCATACTTTATTTTGACCAATGGGTCAGTGCTGGTCGAAGAAAAGAAAACGAGACTTAGCTTATGCGGCACACATGCTCTGAAGCGTGCTTTTACGCTCGATGATTCCCTCTTCAAGGTGTGTTCAGTTAGAACGTTAAAAAGAAAGAGAGCGTTCAAGTTCAGGTGGTCGAATGCATTTTTCTCTAACAAGAATGGCTTTCCTGGGCCCTACTTTGTTTATGTATGCGTACGTGTAAACGCATTTACTTTCTCTGAGGGTAAATTGACTTCGGGAGCGGTAACGGATTCGCTTAGAAGTTCTCGATACTAAGTTTGCCGGAAAGCACTTCACGTATAAGAGCTTGGGTCCCCGTATCCTTTGTTTGCCTTTTTACCTTCGGTAGGAAACCATTATGGAAAGTGATCACACGAAAAGCAAAAAAGCGCTCTTCCTTCCGGCTTCTGGAAAGACTTGAGCCGATAGACGAACATTGGTCAATTTCAATTATCAATTAAAGGTCGGCTACTAATTACAATTGTTGGATTGAAAGCATCTCTCTTTCCGATTTCGTTTTCGAAGGAGTTTTCTCGTATTCTGTATTAGCTCCTTCCACGAATGAATAAGGTAAGGCTTCGATCTTTCGCTTTTGAGTTCGTCCGGAAGCTCTAGTATGAGCCGGTGATTCCAGTCCGTCTCGGATGGAACTCCCACCTAAAAAGTCCTTAGTCTCTTGTCGAACATCTCACCCAAGCGCTAGGTAATCCAATTTGGAGCATCGGTACTCGCCAGAGTTACAAGTCGTTAAGCGACGCGAAAGAGTTGATCCATCGGATTGGGATTAGCCAGTCTTTGAGCTAGCCCTAATTGAATCTACCAAATAGGCAAATAGGCTAAAGAAGGGAAGCACCAACCATTCATTTGTCGAATCGAAAGCTTCGCCTACGACGTAACTCAGCGCGGTAAGCTCCATTTTCCTGGCGCTTGTTTAATTTAAAGTGGTACGGTATCCCCATTTCTAACTAAGTCAATTGAAAATGACATCGGCTAGTGAGCAAACGAGCTTCGGAATTGGATCAAAGCCAAGAACCGAGGCGAGGTCTGGAGTGTGCGGATCAGACAGAGAAGAAAGATAAGGTGTTCACGATTTAGAAAAAGTAGCATATGCTCCGGCCGGCTCGCTTAGTCTTCATCGTCAATGGCTGCTAACGCCGCGACGAGGGCGCGACGGGTTGCCAAAGGAGAGTCCCAAGAGGCCTAGGAGAGAGGTGATGTATTTATCTTTACATGTACTGAACTTATTGGGTCCCCATTAAGAAAATAAAGGCTTTGCCCAGCCTAAAGCGCTTTTCCTAACCAAGGTGATATTACCTTCTTCCACTACTGAGAAGTCTTCGAAATATTTCCTTCCATCGTTACCATGAGTACAGGCCCGGTCCTCATTCCGTAATTCTGGTTAAGAGATCCCCTATCTAACTGATCACACACTGACCTCCTATCCGGGGCCCCCGCCTGGGTTCAGCACCTAAGTTTCCTTCTTTCATCTCAGGGGTCGACGGTCTTTCTCTTATACGGTGGATGCTTGGTTCTTCTTATTACAGAGTACGGAGTGGAAGCATTATATCTAGTAGCCTAGCCGATTCCAGTGTTCAGTACCGGCACTCATACCTAATAAAGCCAGCATCCTCCGAGAAAGGTAACTGCCCCCTTCCTCTCATTCCAAAGCTGGAATGAAGCTCAGTGCTTGGCTCGATCTGGAAATTGCGTAAATAATAACTGGGTTGAAGCGAAGTCATCTCAGTCAGTTCAAAGTAGTAGGAAAAAGTAAGTGGTAAGGGAGAGGAGAGACCCCTATCGCTAACTTCTCTGTCCTAATCTCCTGTGTCGAAGACATCGGAAAAAGCTTGCTTGTTTTCGTGCTACTACAGGTCCTAGGGATGGGACTTTCAGGCCAAGTGCGGATTCGTCGAAATCGAAAGATTGCCTCTTATTTGCTAAGATTGGCGAATCAATCAGTCGTGGTTTCGGCTCATATCGGAAAGAATTAAAAAAGATAAAGTAGCGCATGGGCAAGGTAATACGATAACCGATTTCTTAGAGCATTTAGGCGACTCCTAAGACACCAAAAAAGGGTGAGAAAGACATGAGCCAATAGGCGAACCGAAGAAGCAGATTGACCTACTTTCAACGCATAGGCTCGCCCGCGAAAGGAAGACAATCGTTGCGTGCAATGCGTAACGCCTCTGAGCCAGAACTATAAGCATCATATAGAAGATCGTTGGCCAATTCCTTGCATCACGAACCTCTCGAACTAAAAGGAAAAGATCAACCGACCGAATCTTCGTTATTTATTCTCCACTTTCGACACGAATGCAATGAAAGCGGGTCAGCTGAGCTGCAAGTGAGATTTTGGTCCGAATTCCGGCTAACTCATGGGCAAAGTCGTCTTTTGCCGCCCCTCATGCAGCATATGAGCGGATCTTCACTAAAACCGGCTCTATTGGCGGATGGATAGCGCCCCTCACTCTGCTATGAGAACAAAGAAAGGCACACTATCTCCTTGCAGCTTTGCCCGTCGCCCTTCGGTAGTATAGTAGGATGGATAGCAAAGCCGCTAAAGCGCCCTTCGCTTAGTATCTTCGAGCCTCTACTGAATTCCGCTCGCCCCGGTCCGCGTTGACAAAGTCAACGACACAAGCAAGGAGTTGACAAAGGAGAACAGCCCCCTGTTGTTGATAGAGAGCTTACTGCCCCGCCCTTTATAGTATAGTCGCGACTGTTGTCATGGAAAAAGACTTTCTTTTTTGTCAAAGAAGCATGCTTAACACAGCCTATAGCGTAAAGGCATTCGAGCTGCGTCTAAACTAAATTAAAGGTGAGGGCCTTTACTCTTTCTTCTGTAGATACGCTATCCCTTCCTTCCGGCTATGGTATGGGGGAAGGGAAGTGAGATCTACCAATTTCTTTTTAGATGAGTGGCCGCACTATGATCGTTCGGGAGACATGGTCCCACGCGCTACACAAAAGAATGAATTGTTATGCGGTCGGAAAACTCTTTCTGCAGGCAGCCTATCCAATCAGATCACGTATTTTTGAATATGTCGTTCTGTCATATACATGTATTCGATTCGGTCTTCAATTTGTCCTGCTCGTGCCCGGAGAGAGAATGGGCACGACTCCCCCTCTTCCCGTTCTACTGTCCAAAACACGCCGGCCATTCTAAGTTCTGGGGTTGGGTCGGATAGGACCAGACCAAATCGGCTGGATCTGTGGAATCTGAACGGATCAGATCCAATCGGATCTGATCGTAGCTTCGAGTTCAGGTGCCGTACCGCGGCCGGACCGGAAAGGAAGGAAGGGGACAGCGAACCGCCTGCCAAGGTAGCTTGCTAACTCTCAGCCACTTGTTAGAAGGAAGTGCAGCTTGATTGTCGGGGGAGGGAAGGAAAAAAGAAGGTAGATTATTCGATTCTATTTCCTCCTTTGGTGACGGATTGGCTTGGAGAGAGGCGACCAACGGGAGGAATTCGTCTTTTTTTTGTTTGTATCACCGAGACACCCGAAAGGCCGGCCATATGTACCTCGGGAGACCCGGCCCATTCAAATCAAAAAAAATAGAACGAGCACCTACGACTAAGGGGAATGGAATGTCGACCACAAGGTGAGATGATCTTATAATACGAGGGCGAGTGACTGGTCAAGTCATGAAACTTAGTCATTTTGATCAACATGGCTGCAAGTGGACTGGGTTTATGTGTTTGAACTGACTACGACCAAAGTCGTGGCTGCTTCAACCAAAAAAGGGCGACCCCGAAAGAAGTACCTCACCTCACTTACTAAGAAGTAGTTGGAGCTGGGCTCCGTGAGAGTTTGCTTTTCTTTCTAAGAGCGGTCTGTCTGATCCTGATCAGACCGCTCCTGGTGTTCGAACTAGTCATTAATGGTCGGCTTCATTGGTACCCTTTCGGTATGCGTTGCGAACACTTTCATTTTTAGCGTCTCACCTTCTCTAGAGAAGCGAAACTCGAACGGATAGAGCACATGGTCCAACTACATAACTTTTTCTTTTTCATTACTTCCATGGTCGTGCCTCGTGGCACGGCAGCACCCGTACTATTGAAATGGTTTTTCAGTAGAGATGTTCCCATAGGTGCCCCTTCTTCCAATGGTACTATAATTCCTATTCCTATCTCTTTATTCCCTCTTTTGGTCTATCTACATTCCAGGAAATTCATACGCTCCATGGACGGAGCAAAAAGTGGAGTCTTGGTCAGAGCAAGCCGCCCCATTCTATTACCAGACAAAATTCGGAGAAGCTCACCCGAAACTAGAGCTAGAAACGCCTTATTTCGTTTCGTTCCCGTTCTTCATTTCCTTCTTCTCGAATCCAAGGGGGACTTCTCATATTTAGAATCTTTCTGCGGTGTGCTCTGTTTACTATTCTTTCGTACTTTCTTCTCTTTACCACGCGATAGGTCAGCGAAGCGTGAGCGGGCGCGGAGAAGGAAACGCCAAACACTTCGGCCTAACGGGAATGAGCAACGACGAAATGACAAGATGAGGTGCTCCGGGCACCCCCATTTAAAAAGAAGGGTCGAAGGTTTTGGGCCTCTAGCTTTCCCCGTCCCCCCTTCGTCGGGCGGTGCTTGTGTGGGGGGGGTGCCACCAGAAATCGGGGTTGAAGCTCTCGCCTTACCAACGAGCCGACAGCTGATGGCTGTTGGTCACGACTACTACCAAAAAGCTCCAATGAAGATGAATATTTCACATGGAGGAGTGTGCATCTGTATGTTGGGTGTTCTTCTGTCGTGCGACCCGGCGGCTTATGTGCAACCTGTGGCCCACGCCTCCTATTTGTTCAGGGCGGGCGGCGTGAACTCTGATTCGATCCGGGTATTCAATCCCGCCGCTGAGATGCTCAGTTGACTCCTTAACCTTGATAGGAAGATGGCTTATTCAATAATTCGTGCATAAGGGTAAGGAACTTTGGATGAACTAATGCGAATGGGTGTAAGCTTCGCTGCTCGGAAACACCCAGTGCTGACCACACTGAGAGACACGAAAGCGCAGGTAACGCCAGTTGGCGAAGTGGCGTTAAGCATCCCTAGCGGTACGAAAAGAGAGGTCGTGATGATATCATCTATGTCCGTACCGCTCCTCGTGGAGTAGATCCCGCGTCCACCCAAGTCTTTGACCAGGGAACGGGAAAATTCCCACTACCGCTGGCAGGCCAGCCGGGCCGTGAGCGCGGTGGGAACGGACTTCCCAAAAAGCCAGCCCCGGGCCGGGGTCAGCATAGAATGAAGGGGATGGCTCTAACTAATGTTGTGTCGGCTTTGCCAACTTCTTGGGTTACGGGCGGAGAAAGAGCGGACGTGGGGACTCGGGTCGGGGCGCAGCCTAACTAAGAGAGCCATTCCATTTTGGGCGAGACAGAATGGGCGGGCACGAGCGGTCTGGTGTCCGATGGTCAGACGACGACTACTTCATTTATTAGATTAGTCTTACCCGCCTATCCCGGAAATGAAATGGAATAGAAGGAACGCGAAGCGCTATAGGATTGGTTTTTTTTTTTGGGGGGGGGATAAGCTTGCTTCTTCACAAGCTCCGCCCCGACCGGCAGCTGCTGGGTCTCCCCATCTCCTCTAAACTTCCCCCGGTCTTCGGCCCGAGCTGTATGAGGCAGAAACTCGTCTCACGTACGGTTCGGAGGCCGAGCCCCACCCCAGCAGTAATGGTGCGGCTTAGGTCAACTAACACAAAGAAGATACAGTTCACTCAACGATTGCCTTTGGGTTCCGAACTCCATATGGGGAAGGAACGTTGTTGTTTGCGAGGTCTCGATCATTTACATGGACCCACTTCTCATTCCATTTGTGGGAATTTGATGATCTATAAACCGTCCCTAACGAACGATCGGCTCATGTTTGAGCATGATGAATCACTTCGTGCCGACCTGTTGCTAATAAACTTTCCGGCCTCATATGAGAATGGAAAACTTGAGCATTTTCTGCATCGGTGGATGAAGAATCGCGAACATAATAATTTCTGGTTGACCATGTTCCCAGAAAAAAGATACTTTCGAGAAACGACGAGCACGACTGAAGTGGCTATACATACAAATCTATTTACGGATCTATATGCTTCGATTGGAACTGGAAGTTCCAGAACAGGCGGCTGGTATACCACCATAATGAAACTGCCTTTTATTTTTTTTATTCGGATAGGATTTATGTTGGCTTCGTTAGGGGGCTCGCGTAGTTTGTTACGTCAGCTCAAAAAGGATAAGTTGCGTTGGTATCGAGAAAGTTCCGTGGAGTTCATAATTGCAAAAAAGGAGTCAAAGTAGTGGCTGCGGCGCGTCTAGGCACTTCAGAGCGGGCCGGCAGGCGGGCGAATGGGTGGGCACTACTAACCAAGCCAAGCCGTCTGTCACTATCTCTATCATAATAGAAGCAAGCGTGAGGCTAGGATGAATTAGCTAACGAATTGACTAGGAGAATGATTCGTCGAATAAGGTGAAACTTTTCCTATTGCCCACTCCGCTCTCTCTTTGACCACTACTTACTGATTAGCTGGGAATATTCTTGCTTCTTGCCAGTTAGCTCTCCAGGGAGCTAAGGCAGTTACTGATTCAATTCTTTCGTAAGGGCAGGCTCATGGCGATAGGTTCTTTCAGTAGAGTATCTATAATCTAGGTATCAGTAGACGGAATGAGTCTGGTAAAGCTCTTTTGGCTTGGTCTGGGGAAGCTTTTTACTAGATAGGTATAAGATCTCAAATAATTAGCTTTGGGTCACGGCTAAACGTTGTAGGCCTAAGCGCAGTTGTCGCTCTTGGAGTCTGATCAGTAGGGGAGAAATTCACACCGGGAAATCTCTTTCTTAATAAAGAAGCAACATCCTAATCATACCCAGCCCCTGGCCTTAAAGAATCAATACCCGGAGAATGGTAAATGGCAAGAAAGAAAGGGTGTAAGCGGCGACGATCCGACTTTCATGTACGAGTCTCAATGGGCTATCAAGATTGAATTCCAGAAAGGTATTGCTTACAGAGCCAAAGAAGAATGAATTTCATTTTTGCCCTGAGACAACTCAATCAAACTAGTGGTATGCGACGTGACTTGGATTCGACTTCTTAACTCATCAACTAGAATGAGAAGTTGCAGTTCAAATGAATGCGGGGCTTTACCCAGTTTCACCGAGGGTTTAAGCGGTGATTAGGGACTTTCGGAACTCTAAGCCTTTTAACTATAAGGGAAATCCAGCCTTTGAAACTAACGAGAATCGAACTGTCATTGAAAGCCATCAGATCCAGCTCGAATGGAATCTTTGGACCGGCTAAGCGAAGTTTAAGGAATAACTGAAGCTATCGGCGGAGAAGGATATCTTGATGAAAGGGAAATGGCTATTCCGGATTCGACGTCTTGCTTCGACGTTTTGGAGGAAGGGCTGTTAGGGCAAGGGCTTCAGTTAAATTAGCTTTCCCGTTCGGCTAAGCCGGAAAGAGTTATCTCACTGGCTGAACGAAATAAGGAGCAAAAGCCGGATCTTCGAACTTAAGAGCAGAGAAAACCTACTTCCTTCAGTACGGGAAAGAGTTGCTCTTTCTGCTTTAGGTGCAGCCAGTGACGGGCCTTAGCAATAAGATTAGGAATGGGCCTAAGCGCAGGAAGGGAGCAGGGAGAAGCAGCGGGGAGAAAGAAATCGTCTTGAGGTAGAGGGGTAAGTTACCGACAGTCTCGATCCTCAAAGGAAATAGGCGCTACCATAGTCACAAAAGAGATTCCATATGCACCACCTATCCATCATCATCCCAGTTTTGTTACTCAAGATCACGATTGTCGGGGCACCCTTCTTTAAGACCCAGGAGCGGACCAAAAACAACCTATCTTGCTGCTCCGAGTGCCTACCCCATAGCTGATTTCTTTTTTTTATGCTGATATTTTTTGGGAGAGACAAACCGCATTTTTGGAAGGATTTCCCCGGATTCCTACACGACTTGTTGAGGCAAATCTGTTTTTTATTGTGCCATTAGGCTTTAGGCTGTAGTATGTAATTTTTCGCAGAACTCGAAAAGGAGTGTAGCACTTTTATTAATAGTCGAATTGATCGCCTTTGAGAAGTGGGAAGAGTCTAGGTTGTGAACTCGCGAATCATCTTGCTTTATTTCATTTCCGAGTTCGGGACAAGGAGGGTCATTAGCCATAGGCGCCTTACCACGATCGTAGCCCTCCAGCGCGACGCATCTGTCCCGAGACAGTCTTTCTAGAGCTCTCCTAAACCTTTAATTGGCTTTCAAAGCAGTTAACAGAATCCCTCTCCGAAGCTGCGAACGGACCTCCGCTTGTCAGCTCTGCTGTAATCCTTCTACCCATCGCTTTCAGCTCACCTTGAAGACCCCTAGCCTCTCTACGGACTTAATCTACCCATCTTATCGGCTCACAACCTAGACGGTTGTCTTCTGTACGGGAGGAAGGCTGTCGCAGGGGAGGAACCATTTTGAAGGGGAGGGGAGTTCCACTATCTGAGTTAGGCCGATATCATTAGATAGGTAGGCTGATCTCCGCTTCTATCCTCCCGGGATCAGAAGCAGGCGATGGCGCAAGTGGAGTGAAAAGCTTTGAGTGGAAGGAAGGTCCTTGTTCAGCTCCGCCTATTCATCTCTTCTTTCAAATAGTGAAAGCAAATTACCCTTTTCTAGTTCTCACTCTGTTGTGGGGACCCACCAAGACTGTCTTTCCCTGTCTTTCCTAGTCTATAGGTCCAATCTCATCTGCTAGCGCTTCTTCTGGTCGGGACACATTCATAGATTTCTCATAATTGTTCCTGGGCTTGCAAGTGACTTACTGCTTTTGGCCGTTCTTGCTGTCTTAAGTCGTCCTCTTTCTTTATAATTAATTTCTTTCGTGCCTGCCCGGAGGCTAAGGGGAGAACTGCATGTCCTACTAGTCGGATAGAAGCCTACCCACCTACCAGCCTACCTTGTTCATATCGAGCCGGACAGGAGAGACACTCTTTAAAGTTAATAGAAGCAATTCCT